AGGTTCTCTGAATTATTCAAGCCCCTTTGCCATGACAATGCAGCAATCCATGAAGGGGAAGATGGTAGTTACTGATGCATATTGTTGGTTTTTTGTTGCTATTGTTCTTAATTGGTTTTTCAGTCATATCTATTTAGTATTTGTTTTAATGCGATAACATATTTAGCATTATTTTAATACTCTGAATTTGTTGTGTTTCTTAGATGCATTTATTTTTAAGATTTATGTTGTAAGCTGCCTCAGATCCTGCAAAGAAGAAAGGCAGGATATAAATTAAGAGACAAAAATAGGAAAATAAGTTATTATTTAATAATGTGCCATCAAGATCCTTTTCAGAGTTTTCTGGATAGAGAATACTCAGATGTGGTTTGCCATACCCTTCTTCTGGGGGCACCCTGGGACTGGACGAGTTTTCTGGATAGAAAATACTCAGATGTGGTTTGCCATACCCGTCTTCTGGGGGCACCCTGGGACTGGACAGCTTACCCAAGGTCATACATGCTGGTTCTTCTCCCTGTAGGCACAGCGGGAAATCGAACTCCCAACTTCTGATACCTAAATCACTGAGATATCCATCCAGCACTAAAATGGTATGCCATCAAGTCAATTCTAACTTATGGTGAACCAGTCCAGGGTTATATAAAAGATAATAAATCCTCTAGAATAGATTGCTTCTGTTCCTTTAATTAGTATGTGATGTTTAGAATAGTTATGATGGCTACATGTGACTTGATGCTCACAAAGTGATGATAAAGGGATGAACAAGTCACTTAATAATGTTGCTGAGTGATCCGTTTTATATTTCCACACAGAAAAGTCTTTCTCATCTGAGATTCATAGAGCTGTATTTAGCAAGAATTGTATCCACACATTTGAACATAAAAAATAAAAATGCAAAACTATGAAAAAGGCAAATTTATGTTTTTTTTTAAAAGGCTTTCTACATCCCTTTTGTGTGGGTGGTCACTGTAGAAGAACAGGTTTTCTTGTTGTCTTAAGAGTGGGGCTGCCTGGATGCACTTGCTTCACCGTTGCAGTTCATTTATTAACTAACGATCAAGCTTGAATTTCAATGTCCTGCTTTTAGAGATACTTGATACTTCCCAGGCTATTGAAATTCAGGTGCTGTTCAGAGTGGAGGAGTAAGCTGAATGGAAGCATTTGGTTGCATTTCTCCAAGTTTCAGTACAATGTTTGTGTTTTGGATTGGACTACTTGATGCTGTTGATATTGAGGCTGCAGAAGGCAAAAATCAGAAAGGGAATTGTCTCACATTGTTGATGACTTCAAGGATTTGGGTCCTAGGTCCTGTATTAATAATCCGAAGGTAAAACCATTCCATGAAGCATGTACTGTATACTAAACCAGTGAAACTGAACATAAAGTGGCTTGCACTTTTCCCTCTAACACATTTGTCCTCCAGCAATGAGATTTCCTCACAGCTGCACAGCTAAGCAATCAGATTTTCAAATTAGGACTGTGTTTGTCTTCCAAAGACCGATCACAAAACAAAGGACCTTGGAATGCAGCATACCGAAATGACAAGCATACACAAACAACTGTCTTTCACCACTTGAGGGAGCACTGTTTGCAAATACATGCTAAACATATTACCTAATTTTAACATGCACTGTACTGTTTAATAGGTAGTTGTCACACACACCCAGTTCCCGTTTGTTCTTCTACACACCCAGGTTCCCCTTTGGGCATGACATTTAATTTTCACTCTTTTTCACTGCCACCAGTGGATTTTGTTTATCCACAATATAAATTATTTCACTCAAACACTGGCTGCCAATCATTGAAAGTTTTTATTAAAGTTACAGATGTTCTTTGTTTATTTACTCATAATCACAATCATTGAAATGTCTTTTGTTTACAGTACTTATTTGCCATTTAACCAACTTGTGTATTTACTTGTTACTATTTGACTATTTAGCTCTTTCTCTAACTCCTGCTAACTGAAATTTTAACTCTAACTCATCCCTAACTGAAATCCCTAACTGACTTTTGACTGTCCTCCATTCTCTTCTTATATTCCCTTGGTTCCGCCCTCCTACTCAACCATTGGTTACTAAATCAGTCTTCCATTGTGATGGACAGGTATGGTTTCTGACCTGTCCATCACAGTAGTGTATAGAGATGGGCACAAACCAAGCAATGAACCAGAAAAACCAACAAGTCAGGCTGCTTCGTGGTTTGTTTCATGAACTAGTTCGGGATCCCATTTTGCCAAAGAAAAACAAAGCACTGAACTTTTTTCTCCTCAGCTCTTTTTGTGTTCTGCAAACGGGCATACCTACCTGCCCCCTTCCCACTGCCCAATTACTTTCTTGGGTGATCCTGCCCCCACTGCCATCCTCAGAGGCCGTGGGTCCAGCCTTCCTTCTTGTGCCCGCTTATCAGCTGATAGATGGGCACCTGCGCACAGGTGTCAGGCTTGGCTTCAAGGAGCCGGCCTGCTGCCTTAGCACAGGTGGTTAGGCGGATTCATCATTTTTCTGGTTCATGCCCATCTCTAGTAGCATACCAACACTGCAAGTCAGTGGTCAGAATCCTGCTGCACCATTATGCAAAAGGCTTACATTTTGGAAGTGAATTGCCTCAAGTTAAGAAATCTCTGTAGGAGGGACGTGGTGCCGCTGTGGGCTAAACCGCAGAAGCCTGTGCTGCAGGGGCAGAAGACCAAGCAGTCGTAAGATCGAATCCACGGGATGGAGTGAGCGCCCGTCACTTGTCCCAGCTCCCGCCAACCTAGCGGTTCTAAAGCATGCAAATGCAAGTAGATCAATAGGGACCACCGTGGTGGGAAGGTAACAGCGTTCCGTGTCTAAGTCACATTGGCCATGTGACCACGGAAGATTGTCTTCGGACAAAACGCTGGCTCTATGGCTTGGAAACGGGGATGAGCACCGCCCCCTAGAGTCGAACACGACTGGACAAAAATTGTCAAGGGGAACCTTTACCTTTACCTTTAAGAAATCTCTGTAAATCTGTTGTGTGATGAGTTGTTATGTGTTTTGTAATGCTGTCCAACAGGGTTTCAGCAGGAACTCTTTTGAGGCTTTTTAGTCAGTTTTGAGTTGTGCATGATTAGCTTTCTCTTTTCGGAGCAGTGTGAGGCACAGTACTTTGAAGTGGGTGGAATTCATTGGCTACATTTTCCCCCTGGACGTATCAGTGGATTGAAGACTGGAGACCTATCAACTGTTGTTTCCTTATGCACTCCATAAGGAAGGGAGAGCATTCCATAATCTAGGATGAACCACAGAGAAGGCGCTCTCTCTTGCCCCCATCAAATGTGCCTGCAGTGACAATGGGACCATCTCTTCTGATGGTCTTAAGGGATGAACCACAGAGAAGGCGCTCTCTGTTGCCCCCATCAAATGTGCCTGCAATGGCAATGGGACCATCTCTTCTGATGGTCTTAAGGACTGGGAAGCTTGCATGTGGAGATACAGTTCTTCAAATAGCCTGGACCCAAACCATATAGGTGTTGTTAACCAGTACTTTGAATTAGTAGCTAATGCAGTAGTTGTAGCAGGGGCATTTATGCTCCCTATGACTGGCTCCATTCAGCAGTTTTGCAGCTGCATTTTATCTACATATTTAATAAAACTATATATTCTAAAAGCACCTCCCCTGGGATTTGTTGCTGGCTGCCCCCTGGTCCCTTTCAGTAGGTAGGCAAACTGTGATTCCAAGGCCATTTTTGTGGTGTCTCTGCCAATTAAGCCTCTTCTGGTATCAATAAATGGTAAGTATTGGGGGTGATATTTTGGCCCCCCACCCTCTCTTGGTTGCCTGACCCATCTTAGAGGTGTAATTACAACTCATACCAAATGGCTGTAAGAGTTCCCTGATTTGGCTGGTATTTCATAAGGCTAATCAAGATCATGTTAATGTTAAGCCGTTTCTATATGATGTTGTTCAGCTGAGCACACTGTGTGTGTATGTTCATGAGAGAAAGAGATGTCATCTGCCATCACTGGTGTAGTTGTATTTTAATTTAATGCAATGATTTTTTAAAAGGGTTTTCTAGATGGTAATGTGGCAAACCATCCCAGCCATGTTTGAGAAACCTCCTTCTTATTCTGCTGAGCAAAGCCCTGTACATTTGCCCTGAATGTACTCCTGTGCTGCTGTTTGCTCCCCTCCCCCCAAAACAATATATCTTCAAGCTTGAGTACACAGAAAGCCATGGTGGCTGGACTGAGACAGTAGTAATGCTAGTAAAAGTTGGAGGCAACAAGAAAAGAAGACCAAGTAAGATATGTTCAGCTCAATAAAGGAAGCCACAGCTTTGAGTTTGCAAGAGTTGTGCTGGCCTGTTTATGATAGGACTTTTTGCAGATCATCAATTCATAGAGTCACCAAAGGTGAGAAGCAACTATAGGTCATCTGTTGCAGTCTTGTGAAGATAAAATAGGAGCTTCTTGGAAGATGGGTGGTATTTGCTTGCGCTCTCTCTCTCTCTCTCTCTCTCTCTCTCTCTCACACACACACACACACACACACACACACACACACACACACACACACACACACAGAGAGAGAGTTTGCCATGTTTAAGGCTCACAAATTGCATTTTGGTTTCTGTCTTAGTATGTATACTGAACATGCAATTACGTTTAAGGCGCACAAATTGCATTTCGGTTTCTCTCTTAGTATGTATACTGAACATGCAATTACATTATTTTAAAACATCTGAAATTGTTTTAAATTGTTCTAGGTTGTTCTAGATTGTTTCAAGTGGACTAATGTTTTATTTTTTTGTAGCAAGGCATGAGGTTTTTTTAGATTTATTAAATAAATAAATGAATGAATAAATAAATAAACCTCCTTGCATTCTAACATCTCAATCCCAGTTTGTGTGCTGGGACTTCCCGAACCCTCTCTGGACTACATCCACTATTGCCAACAGTTAAGGGCACGTCTGAGCTGCAGCCATTTTGTTCAAGGCTTCTGTGACGCCTTCTTTTTGTGTTGCGACTTTACAGGGAACATTGAATACAGCTGCCCAGCTACCAATGAGTGTGAAATCACAAAACGGCGGCGCAAGTCCTGTCAGGCCTGTCGCTTCATGAAATGCCTCAAAGTGGGGATGCTGAAAGAAGGTAAGGAGAGGCCATGAGGTGCCTTATTTCGACTTTGCAGAACTTGACTAAGGTATTTGTGGCAAGATTATAACTTCATGTAATAACAACTCTAACATACCATACAATATTATTAAAATTTGAAAACCAATGCCCATTCTTTCTTTCTTATTTCACAAGTCCACCACACATATAAATAATGTCCTTTTTGAATCTCCAGCATTTAAATGGTACATTTTTATTTATAATATTCAATCTTGCTGGGGTAAAGTACCATCTCCATGCGACATTATAACAATTTTCTTTTACCCTTAGAGACATATTCTTCATTTTTCTTCGTGAACATATTTTGTTCCACTCCTCACTTTTAACCTCTTCTTCTAAGTCCTATGGCTATGTTTCACATTTCTGAATATTCTTGAGTTTAGTGAAGATAGTCTTAGAGCTTGGTTTTTTATGATTTGTTTAAGGAAAGTGGAGTGGGTGGGCTATATAACATTTTCAATTCTTCTTGTGGGCTTGGCAGGTACCAGTGGCATATGGTTCAGAAACATTATTTAAATTTTCTGTAATACCTTGGAACTATGCTAGACTGAGTCTTCCAAGGCCTGGTGGGAAATATAATAATGAATCTTCCTCAACTAAGTTCCCACCAAGTTACCAGGTCATGATCTGAGTGCTGAAATTTTCCCATCATCCTGTCATAATGGTTAAAGCCACTCCTTTCTGCTGGGTCCACTAGTGCAGGAGGGCCCCCACCCTTTCCCAAGGATGCTTATGCCCTCAAAGTGTGCTGGGTTATAGTTCTTATAGAGGAAACAAGAGAGCTGAAGTCTAAGACATCATCACCAAGTCTCCTGTTCCACACTGGGTGAGGCAAGTGAAGCTGCTGGCTAATTAAAGTCCTAGACCAAACAAAGGGTGAATCAGGAACTCTACAGCTTACCAAAGCAGACACTCAGGGAAGGCAATCCAAAGAAGTAGCCCAAACAGTTAAGGTCCGGTCAATCTAGAGTAAGAGATTAAGGAACAAGGTAGAAGCTGCACAACAAGTTGGTTCCAGCAGCTTGCAGAACCTATTGAAGGCTATTTTCTAGCACACAGCTGCAGTTATTCTGGTGGCAAGGCAAGAACCCAGCCACAAGATTTGGCCTCTGAGTCTTCCTGGAAAGAAGAGCCTGCTCACGAGAGAACCATTAACTCACAAGGAGACCTTCCCTGCAGCTGAGTACTCTGCCTTGGGGTTCAAGCCAGGCCTGTGCCTTCAGTTTTCCTCACTCCTAAGGGCTGGAAGGTCATGTCACCTCCGCTTTGAACTCAGCTGTTGAGATCCCATCATCCATAGGCTTAGACTCCTGGGTCCCTGGGGGTCCAGGATCTCCAGAGTCAAGCAGGTCCTCTACTCCATCAGGTGTTGGAATCTCCTGTTCCTCAGGCTGATCTTCACTGGGACTGTTCTGCTGAGGTCATGACACTAGTTTGGGAAATAACTGATTTAAAACATCACTTGTTCCTGCCTTCAGTTTCACAGCTTCTAGGTCAACTTATTCACAACTGTAGTACAGTAAAAGCAAAACAAAACAGGAATATCAAAGTGTCTTCAAAATAGAAGATGGCAAGAAAAACAATCCTTCAATATCTCATTTATGTTGAAAACCATATTAGAGTCTCTATTTAGATGTGACTTGAAAGCACATAGCACATAAACTATTAAGGTTGCAAGTTCCAAGGACTGAAGAAAAATACAGTGGATGTGCATTTATTAAAAACAAAACAAAAACAAAAGGGGCATGCTACAAATTTTATGCTTCCATGCTCAGGGGAGGTTTGTGCTCCATGCAATGTATACCTCCCCCCCCCCAAATCTGATGAGGCTGCCCCAAGTCACAAGCTCTTTATGTATGTCCAAATGTATAAAAACAACTGTGCATTGAACATTATGGTTTTAAATAAGGATATTTGGTTGCATTGTCTAGGCCCAAGTGGAAAGAAAGTTTGATAATACTCCATTTATTCAGAGAGGGGATAAAAATGTTGGGCTGGAGTGAGACCTTTGTCCCAATGTTGATGGTCTTGTTTGCCTTCGACCTGTCATCTCACTCAGCCTATTGATTTTGCTCAGTGTTGTCAGAACAGTGCTTGGCTGCTCTCCATGTGCTCTGTCCCTCCTCTCAACCCCCTTCTCTACATCCATTCAAGGTATGCTACTGGGAATTCAAAGGCAATTAAACATATTCTTACAGATTGGCCTCAAAGCTTAGTTTCCTCGGCTTCCCTCTGACTGGAGGGACAGTGGGGGTTGGGAAGGAAAGTGTGGCACTTGTAAGTCTCTCTCTCTCTCTCTCTCTCTCTCTGCACCAATGTACTTGGGAAAGCACAGCTGCCTCAGCCTCACCCCCTGAAAAATGCTCAGCTGTAGAGTGCTACAGCCCAGCCAAAATAGGGCAGGTTGCCATTGTGGGAGCCAGAAAGGAATTGGAAGCGAAAGTGCTTTTCCTCTGAGGTGTTGCGATAAAAGCTAGTGCTGTTTGTAATGTAGATTTGAAGCCACTGTGTGTTCTCCTTTGACTGACAGGTTCTATCTGGGGTTAAATCTCTCTCTTGCTCATTCAGGGATAGCTCTCCTGACATTGGGGAGGTCAGCTCTGTGGCCCTTCATGACCTTGCTTTTAGATTAGGATGGTGAGGGATTCAGAGAATGATATTAGCCTGCTTTGAAGCTGCAGGAGTGGCCCACTGGTGTGTCATCCTCTGGAAAATGGGGATAGGAGTGGGAGTCGGGGATGAAGCCCTTGTGTTTCCCTCGTGTTGTTTCATGTGTTCACAGTGCTCCAATTTCTCCTTTGCCCTTTCCACACTAAGACTTCTTTATTTCAGAATGTCTTAATTGAATCCACTCAGGATCCACTTCTTTACCCCTTACATCATTGGCCATTTGCAATCAAGTTTCAAAATGTAGCGCTATGCAGTTTCAACCTCAGCCTGCTGTAATGTTCATATGCATTATATTTATAACCATATTTATAACCATTAGGATTCAGTTCATGCCTGTTGCCAGGATTTTTAGTCTACATACCAAGTACCATCTCATCACTCCAACGTTTTCTCTCTCTGTTTCCATGTCTATAATACAGATACTGTATTGATTGATGAGACCATGGCTGGCCCTCATTTCAAACTGTAAAATGCTCCCAATAATATCTAACAATACAGAATATGCATTCAGAGAGAATAAATATGTCATGTTGACTTTCACATGGATTGAATATTTTTGAGCCTCCATTCTGTTAAGACCTATCCAAATTTTGACAAATTCTTCAAAAACAAGCTGAACAACATTTTTCCTTAATTTCATTGGCTTAATTCAACAAGAGAAATGTTCATGGTCAGTTGAAAGACAGATCAAAGAATAGGGAGGCAGCCTGTGCTGTTCTCTGAGAACAGATGTGCAGCTTGGGGATTTGTTTCTGAGCCTGGATACCAAGGTTTAGGCAGTAGCCAGGCGTGTGTTTGCACAAATAAAATTAGTGCATCACCTGCGTCCATTCCTGGAAAAGACTCATCTGACCATGGTGACATATACCTTAGTTACATCTTGGCTAGATTACTGTAATACACTCTACACGGGGCTGCCTATGGAAAGCATTCAGAAACCTCAGGAGGTCCAAAATACAGTAGTGAGATTGCTAACTGGTCACATAACCTGCCTGTTATAGCAGCTCAACTGGCTGGCAATCCATTTCTAGGCACAATTCAAAGTGCTGGTTCTAATTGATAAAGCCCTAAATGGTTTGAGTCCAAGCTATCTCAAGGACTGTGTGTCTCTTTATGAGCCTGTACAGGTGTTAAGATTATCAGGGGATTTTTTTTTCTCTTGATCCCACTACCTTCACATGGTAGTGTGAGGGAAAAGGCCTTCTCTGTGGCTGCTCCCAGACTTTGGAACTCTCTCCTACAGGAGGCTAGGCTGGCCTCATCTTTGCTGTCCTTCCACAAGCAGGCAAATACCTTTCTCTTCAAGCAAGCTCTCCCTTAGTGATGGGCTGCTTGATTGGGTTTTTTTAATGGACTGTTATGTGTTACTGCTTTGAATTTGTTTTGGTGTTGCCTTTGTTTACTGATTTTTAGTGTGGTATGTGTATGATCCTTTTTAGTATGTGTACACATGCTATTTTTAGCTTTAAATATTGTCTTTTAATGCTGTAAGCTGCCTTGGCTTCCATTTTTAAAGAGAAAGATAGGGTATAAACAAGCAAACAAACAAGTTACCCAGTGTGATATAGTTCATGGAGTGGCAGATTAGGATTCTGAAGACCAGGATTTGAATCTTCACTTGGCCATGGAACTTCATTGGGAGAGTGGAACTGGTAAAACTACTCTTAATATCTCACTTACCTTGAAAGCCCTATTAGGGTCACTATAAGCTGGTTCTGATTTGATGGGACATAACGGCATACAAGTCAAATAAATAAATAAATAAATAAATAAAATAACTAATTCAGCAAGTACACACGGCTGCAAGTCGAAGCAAAATTTTGCAGCCGGAGTTGGTCACTGTAACGAGGCTGGGCCACTCTGAGGTCACCTGCTACTCAGGCCTCTCAGAATGCCCACCACGGCACTAAACACTCTTGCTGCCACCAACCTTTCCTTTAAATCAAAAGGACAAGGGTTTCTTTCAAAAATAAAACTTGGTTTATTGATTACAAAAATAAAATATGAGAATCACTGAAAGATAATCACTTTGTAAATCACTTTCTTATTTTTAAATCAACCACATAGACATTCCCTCACTGACTCTCAGGCACGCAGGCCTCTTTCTCTCTCACACCAGATCTCTCTAGATCTCACTCTCTCACTCTATCAATCTCCCCCATACACACCTTCACCCCCCTTTTTATACCAGCTCCTCCGCTTCAGTTCCACCCTCCGTCACACCATTGGCTGATGATTCACTGCCCAGCTGTGACGGACAGGTGAGGTCATGGCTACCCGTTACAGTCACAACTCGAAATGGTCAT